GGGCAACTAGGGTTTTCTTTATTTAGGTGCTACAATGTTTACAAGTACAATGAGATTAATATATATAGACAAACATAATTAGGGTTATCTCCTAATCAAGGAAACTAGGGTAGAGACTAGGGCCGGCTCCTTTTGGGCTAGGGCCGACTCCTTTTGGGCTAGGGCCGGCTCCTTACTTTATACCTCCTCCCTTTTGTCTAACTTAGTAGGCCGAAGCCTACATTCCAACATGAAGTGTGTGTACTTGGTTAAGAATTGAGGGTGAAACATACTTTCTTGCTGGTTAAACTTCAACTGCATCAAAACTATTAGTAAATTTGTGTAGCAATCATTGATCCTTCAGCAGTGTAGCAAACAAATGCAAGTGCCCCAGTTTCCATAGCAAGTAAATACATTTAAGAATAAATGTAGAAGATTGGATGCCAACCTCTTCATAATTTCCATCTCCCAGAGTCAACTCAATAAGAGACCGTTCATAAGGATGCAAATGTCTCTTATTTGGGAAGCTTTCTTTGTATGTTCTCAATGGCACAGTTAGTTCCTAAAGGTCATAAAAAGAAGAAATAGCAATACAGTAGATTCTATATTAGATGTACATATTTGAAACTTGAGAAGTTAGCTCATTATTAAATTCCATTACCTTCATTAGAGCATCAAGTTGTTTAGCACCTTTGTTTTTCTCACGCTTAGCAGCATTAGCAATCCCTATGAATCATGCAAACTAAAGTCTATAGTTAACAATCAATTTCCATATAATACTTCAGTGTGGTGCTAAAGTGCAGCTTTACTTTAAAAATTACCCTTCGTAGGTGAGATCCTCCTAGCCTTCCTTAGTGCCGAAGAAAGAATATCAACTGAAGGCATCACCATGGGTAACTTTTGGAAGGCACCAACCGTATCAAGTATCTCAGGCGCTGTATCCTAACAAAGAGTGAATTTTTTAATTATTGTCAATATAACCAAGCCAACAAATAAGAATTACAATCTAAATAAAAAAAACAGCAAAACTGAAACATAAGACAAGTACGACTGAAGAAGTTAGAGCAAGAAATATTCTATAGATGTGATATATAGCAGTACTCTAATTGTAAAATCTGAGACAGGAAGTAGCCCTTGTGGAAGCCCAAGCTGCCAACACATAGAATTATTGGCATGTGCGTCACACATTGTTGTGGGATTTTAGTTCAAAAAAATGATAGTGAGGAAAACTTTAAAAAGTATAATGTTAGGCTGACTGAAAACCAATAGAATACGTTGAATTTAAAACCTTAGTGATTCCATTTATTCCAAGCTATTGACACCATATAGCGTTCTCAAGTACTCTAAAGGACAACACGACTACTCAGTTACCTGATGGAAAAAATTAGTTCATTAGTACCCAATCAATATTCAGATATCTTGTCTCTTACTGGTGATACTCATACAAGAAAAAGAATGAAACATGGACATGGGCCCCTGGATATGACAGCATCTTTCTATGTGTATCTATTCAATGTAAAATAGCACTAAATACATAACAATTACCTCCATTCATGAATGTGAAACAATAACAAAAGAACCATACAACAGCAAACTGGCCACAGAATTTAACAAAAATTTAAATCTAACACTCAATTCAGTCAATTAATAAGATTGAATGAGATCGATGCATTTGGCCTTGATCATGTGGTTCGTCAATAGTTTCCTCTCGTTTGTTCTCTTTCTACAGACTACAGTCCAGTAAGAAAACAAGTTAACAACTCAAAGAATTTCATCAGCTCACTTTCCTCCTCCCTGTATGTCTATACTTGTAATTAAGGATGCATGTATTCTTCAGTTCGATGCTAGTATTGACACATCACATATCCAAGCCTCGCGAAGGATTAATTGGTTATTTGTCTCTTTGAAGCCATGGAACTTGTGTAATTGCCGAGTGTTTGATGCAGTCCTTTTTGTTAATGTTGTATACAAGTCCCAGTGCTTAAAACTGTTCTAATATGCTTTGTAATAGTTAGTTGTAAATTTCCTTTTGTAGAAGGTTGTTTAGTTTTCTGTTTTAGTAGTTGCTATAAATAGGTTGTGTTAGTTGTAATCGGTTAGTTGCGCATACAAACAATTTACATTGATACGTACACATAGTTGAAAATGAGATTGAGTGATTGTATTCAAGAACACCCTATAATCAAAGTACATGAATGACATGCCGACTGATTTACATCTTCAATCTGTGTTCTTGGTTGTTTGATTGAATTGCATATTGTGACTTGAATCTGGGATCACAATTGGTCTCAGAGTTTAATCAGATCAACTGGATTGGATTTGAATTGGAATCTTGTATTGAATTCTTGATTTTCTGTTTTCAAAAAATATGGGTTTCTGTTCTTGCAATTTTTGCAAAATTTGGACTGTTTGATTCATATTTGTCATATTGGTTTGCATTCAATTTGTTTCTGTATCTTTTTCGAACCAATTTGTGCAAGAAATTGCATTGATTTTGCAATTTTTGGGTTTTTTGAGTGATTTTCTTGACTTTCTGGTTCGAAGTCCTCTTTATCGGACAAAGAATATTCATCACCCGATGAGTGTTCTTTTCATCGCCCAATGAATGTTCTTGAATAATTCATCGCTCATTTCATGTTGAAATTTTCTAAGTGTTGATCCTCATCATTCAATACTTGAGCGATTTTGGTTTGTTTTTCAAGCCTTATCGTGTCGTCGTTTTGTCCGATATCTTTTCTTATCGTTCAAAGAGGCGTCCGATGACCCTGCTCATCGCTTGAAGCATCGTCCGATAAAGAGTCTTATTGATCAAAAAGGTTGTCCAATAACCCTCATTCATCATACACCTTTTTGTCCGGACATCTCTCTTTATCGCTCATTGATGCTAATCCTTCAAGTCTATCTCATCGCTCACCTTTGTGTCCGATAACCTTCCTTATCGCCCATAGTCTTGTCTGATAAAGACTTGTCCGATAACCTGTCTTGTCCGATAAAGCTTTGTCCGATAACATTTATTTGGTGTCCGATAACCTTGTTGAGCAATTTTCTAGTGGTAAGTGGGGTGCTTCATTTTCTTAAGTAAAAAAAAATTCTTGGGGCACTTCCCCTTGACTCCACCCGCTAACCGGGTAGCAGGACCCCCATGCTAAGTCGTAGGAGGGGGACTCTATTCTTGAATATTTCAAACCAGTTCCAGATTATTATTTTTCTGAACGATCGTTTCAAGTCTATATTAAAAGATGTCAAAGGATATTCAAAGTGTTAATTCTAATATTGAGATTCTCACTTCATTCTTTTATGAAACTGAATGATGGAGTGTTGATGTTTTAAAACAAAAGCTTATGAGTGAAAGAGCTTTAATATTAAAATTCAGAGAAGAAAGTTGTGGCTTTAAATGTCTAAGTGAAGGTTTAAGAGAAGAACAAGAAATTCTCAGAAAAGAAAATGAACAACTTAGATCTGATTTAGATAATCAAATTGCTTCATTGAAAAATAGTTTGAATGAATCAGAGGGTGAGATAGTCAACACCCAATTGAAATTTGATATGATTTTTGAAGAAAGAGGTCATTTATATGATAAATCAAACAGTTGGAAGAGATAATATTGAATGTAAATGAATGGGGGAGTGTAAAAAAATGGATGAAATATTCTGAGTCATTTCTGAAGATTGGGGAAGTTGTCTAAAATTAAAGGAGTGAAGTTATCTCTGAAGATAATTGCTGAAGATTATTATGCTGCAATGTTCAAGGGGGAGTGAATGTGAAGATTATTCTATTTCTGAAGAGAAGGAGAAGATTAATCAAATGTTGAGAAGAAATTTTCTGTTTTCTGTTAAAAGGGGAGATTGTTGAGAAGAAAGTTTCTGTAAAGTTCAGAGATAGCTGAAATTTTCTGAAGCTGTTCAATATTTGGGGGAGATTGTTTGATTTTGTTAAAGAGATAAAGTTTGTCAAAGTTTGCTGATTAAAAAAAGGGAGATTGAAAAAAGTTTTCAAGAGAAAGACTACTGAAGCTTAAAAGATCAAAGTCCTGAAGTTTTTAAAGTTTGTTGAATGAATTCTGAAGATCGTTGTTGTGCAAGCTAAAGTTTAAAGATCTGAAGAATTTGTTGTTTTGGACTTGAATCCAAAGGGGGAGATTGTTGGAACAAAATGTTGTATTCAAGTCGCCACGCTTAAAATTGTTTTAATATGCTTTGTAATAGTTAGTTGTAATTTTCCTTTTATAGAAGGTTGTTTAGTTTTCTGTTTTAATAGTTGCTATAAATAGGTTGTGTTAGTTGTAATCGGTTAGTTGCGCGTACAAACAGTTTACATTGATACGTACACATAGTTGAAAGTGAGCTTGAGTGATTGTATTCGAGAACACCCTGTAATCAAAGTACATTAATCACATGCCGACTGATTTACATCTTCAATCTGTCTTCTTGATTGATTGATTGAATTGCATATTGTGACTTGAATTTGGGATCACAGTTAATATTCCTAACATGCTGCAAACATTTTAAAGGATGTGATCGTAAAGATAATTAAACATGTAAGGTATACACAACCTCACCATCTCCCCACTGCTGGAACCCAAAATTCCCATTTCAGTGATATACCATGATAAGGGTTTCTTCTTGCTTCTTAAAAACCAAACTAATCATGCCAACAGAATTGATCGGTTTAAGAATAAATGTACAGTTCAAATAATCATATTTTCACCCAGAGACATTACATAGGTAAATCGGCTTATGATAAATTATTCACCTACATTAAAAAGGGAGGAAAAAAGTTCTAATAAAAGTAAAGAAGCAGTCTAAAAACTTAGATTATGTAGCAATTAAATTACCATATTACTGACAGAAATAATAATAATAGGGAATAGTCCAAAAAAATCCAACAAACTTTCTCATTTTGAACGGTTTAGTCCCTAAACTATTTTTTGAGTGAAAAAAACATTAAACTTTCTTATTTTAAATGATTAAGTCCCTGAACTATTTTTTTGAATGAAAAAACCATTAAACTTTCATTTTGAATGATTAAGACCTATTTTTTTAAGAAATAAATAAACCATCGAACTTTGACTAGCTTTTTTTGGGTTAAAAGGATGTGGGTAACCAATTTTTAGAAGTGTGATGATTTATTGATTAAAAAATGTTCAGGGACTTGATCAATCAAATTGAGAAAGTCTAATGGTTTTTTCTTTCAAAAAGAGAAAGTTTAATGGTTTTTCATTCAAAAAAATAGTTCAGGGACTTAAATCATTCAAAATGAGAAAGTTTAATGGTTTTTTCATTCAAAAAAATAGTTCAAGGACTTGAATCAATCAAAATGGGATAGTTCGTTGGTTTTTTTGAACTTTGTCCATAACAATAATAGTAAAACAAGGTAAAAAAATAAAAGGTCAAATAATACCTGACTTCAATATCTTATGGTGGTAAGCGCATAAAGTTACTCTTTAATTTTCATACTGATGTTTAAATGAATTATTTGCTTTAAGAGGGATGTGAATAAGCCACAAACATGCCTTCATAGATGTAGCATAAGGGTGAATCTTGATGTTTCTTAAGATTAGGCTTATCCTCTTCTAGCTTATAGTCAATCTCTAAACCCTTCCATCAGATTATTTAAACCAAATGCTGATCCAAAGATATCTTTTCACAGTCAATTCAATTTTTTGACATCATCAAGTGTTTCAACAAACTGTAGCTATTATCACTTACTTAAAAAGAGACATAATGTTACTGAACAACCCAATTTGAACAAGTCCATGGAGATGAACATATGAACGTCAGCTGCAATCTACGAATTCTTTTGTCTGAGAACGCTTTCATACCAAATATGCTCAAAGTTAGCCAATACAATCTATTTTTTCTCTTTTCGGTTTAACACTCCTACGTCAGGTAGGCAAAGCTGGTCAGGTCTGATGAATTTAATATGCTCAATTCACAGAGGGTCTCTGCTTGCAATAATGAGGTTGATTTGATATACATACACAATTTCATGGTGAAGTTTTACAATATATTATTTAAAAGTACCTTTGTTTTGTTTTCCTGCTTGGCATGTGATGTCTCCAAATAGCTTCCATTCACAACTTCATATGTAGTTGTTTGCATCTGTTTACAAAGACACTGGGGATAGATTTTCATTCTTGGTAATGGGTACAAACCTGCAAGGCATCACCTTTGTCAGGAGAACTGTTTAAAAACGTCTTACAAGAAATAAAAAGGTATATTTAGACAATTTGATGACAATCGACGTAATTCACAGATTTATAAATTTGTTACTGCTAAGCAACTCTAAAACATGAAATGCTTCAGTAAAACGAACCAAAAGGATGTATATACATAGAAATCTATACATATATCCACCAGCATCCATAAAAGAGAGGCTATGTAATCCAGATATTAACGAACAAGGTTTATAGTGCCTAAACGATGAAAACGCATCATAAACCCTTGTTCATCGATGTCTGAATCAACAAATACCTTTGCAGAGCTTGGCGCGACTGAATAACAGCGTTGAGTAAGGAAGTTGCCATAGCTGTAGCAGATTCATACTCCCGCTCATCCTGCTCTCTCTTCCTCTCTCGTTCGATATTGTGAATTTCGGTAGGGGGTTTTGTGTTCTTTTCTTCAATTTGGATTTTGGAAGTGTTCTTGGCTTTTGTACAGATAAACGTTTTCTTACACACCCTCTTGGAATTAAAATTATGGAAATAGTCCTTTAGTTCAATTATACAATTTACACCTGTCCCTTAGCTGTGTTAGGGACACGAGACACGACCGGACAAAACTCACTCTCACATTTGGTATAAAATGGGATAGAACAAAAACTCACCGTCCCATATTTAATGCAAGATGAAACATGGACAAGGCAGAACAGTGGAGGACAAAAAAGGGGTTTTCTTGTTTTTCCAAACTGAATAAAACATAATTATCCTTTGTATAAATCGGGTTTTTTCAAACTACCATCAATTATATCAAAATTTTCATTCAAATTTGATACTATTATATATGTATGTATTTGTGTAAATGATCAGTGGCGGATCCATAAACTTTTATAGTTGAGGACATACTTAGGGGTATAGAAAAAAAAATCAAAACCAAATAATTCATCTAGATTAAAACGGTTTTGAGTTTTTCTTTACAGCTTAAACGGTTCAGTTAACCGAATAAAGATAACTTATTCATGTCGATTTTCAATTGACTTTTTATTAATTCATCAGGGTGTATAATTTTTATTTTTATATTTCAAATGAAAATATCAATGTGTGGTTGTGTTGTGTGCTCCAAATGGACCAATTAATAATCAGGATATCAAGTTGGAGGCCCTTGTCTTGTTATTGTTGGACGCACAATAGGAAATTTTATTAAACAAATCTCTTTATAGCCTTTTTTTTTTAATTGTTGGGTTTGTTTGGGGCCCAGGACCTCTACCATCATGCACTTGATCCGCCCCTGATATGATAACAAACCCAATCAAACAAACCTCCATCTACAGTGTAATTAGATATCAAAATAAATAAAGAGTTTTTGTCAAACAAAAAAGATAAAGAAATCGACGAGAATATGAAATACCAGCAATGGTTGAATCAGATAGTTTGAAACCTCCCAACTTGTAATCGAGTATTTGGAACGAGCAAGGAGCAACGATGAATCTTAGGTTAATCGACGAGATGAGTAGGGGTGTGAGAGGAGAAGAGAGTGAAGGGCAATCTAGGAACATGAATGTCTCTGAATGTTATAGGTTCCGTGTAAGATGAAAAATTACCTGGAGGCTTATTGAACAATTCAGATGTATCTTTTTCGAGCCAAACAAGACATATCTCTAGGCGATTCAGATTTAAGCCTCTTAATGATATAATTAAAAGGTAAACAAAAGACCCCTTACCTTTTAAAAAAATTATAATGGCTTATGAGCCGTTTACGAAACACTTTACCGGGTAAGTGCTTACTGGTAAAATTTACCACTATTATTTACTTACCGAGTAAGATTTTAGTCCACCAAAACGACATCATATGCAACAATATACCCGATAAGCGCTTATTGTGGTAATAGTCAACACCCTCACTTACCGAGTAAGACTCTTGGTCCTTGTCTCGTTCTTACCGGATACGATTCTTGGTCCTTACCATATTCATCTGGTGAGGTAATGTTACTTGGTAAACACTTACCAGATAAACGACTACCCATGTCATAAAATTTTACAAAACCAATATATCCGATGTTAAAAATGGAAATCTTTAAAACTGTGTTACATGAAAAAGATATTGCATTTTTGATACATTTTTGTGTTTAAAAAGTATAACTGAAAGATCCAAAGGTATAATCCACAAGAACATGGTTGGCTATCATCAATTCCCTTTAGAGTTACGATTCCGATGTAGGATTACAACTTAGAAACGCCCAAAAACAGAGAGCTCCACAAACTTTGGGGAAGAAAGCGGAGCTCCACATTTGAAGCAGCAAAAATGGCAGCAATTGCTACTCCTCTTCATCTCTTCTCTACTAATAATAATCCATTTGTATGCAGAAAACCAAATTTCTCCACTTCAATCCCATCTGCTTTCTCCGTTTCATCCAAGTCCTACCCGATTAACAGGTATTTATCATCACCGATAGATTGCCATTACTTTTCATCACTATGCTTGCTTTGTATTTAGAAATGGTGAGATTTAATCGAGAGAAGAAGAAATTGGGTGTGCCATTGATTTACTGAAGTTGTTAGCGAATGGTGAGATTTAACAGTTATAATCAGATGACTTCTCTCTACATTTTTGGGTCGTACAATTTCGTATTAAGAATATGAAATGAATGGATTATGGATCCTTGATTCTATTTGTATTGTTTTAGGTCAATTTAGTTGCATTCTTCGACTCCATTTCAGTCTCGTATCATCACGAATCAGATTTGAAGTTAGAAATCAAGGTGTTTGACTTTTATAAGTCAAAATTCATGTTTTTCCCTGTTTAGGAATGGGGAAAAACATGAAGTTAGAAAAATTCTTCCAAAATTCGAAGTTAGAAATCAATCGGCTTGACCTTGAAAGTCAAACGGTATGTTCTTGGAGTGGAAATATTGCTTTATAGGGAAGTAGTTTAATTTTGACTGCATTTTGGTTCTTTCAAGCAGCAATGCTTCATTATCTTTCATTGCTCCTCTTGAAGCAATCCTTTTCGACATTGATGGAACTCTTTGTGACTCTGATCCTCTCCATTTTTACGCCTTCCGAGATATGCTCCACGAGGTAGTCTCTTCGACCCTTTGATTTTCTCAACTCATTTACAATCTTACAACTACCGCTCTATGTTTTGGGGTAGAGGACAAGTATGCTTACATCTCCCCCTTTGGTTTGGTTACCGCTCTACTCTTTGGAGTAGAGGATATACTTACATCTCCTCAAACCCTGCTTCTGAATGAGATATACTATGTGTGTTTGGTTTGGTTCTTTTGAATCTTACTGATACCGCTCTACTCTTTGGGGTGGAGGACAAGTATACGTACATCTCCCCCAAACCCTACTTCCAAGTGAGATATACCAAGTACTTTTGGCTTGGTTATTCCGAGTAAGATATACTGAGTGTGTTTGGTTCGGTTATCTTGAATCTTACTGATACCTACAACAATGGAAATGAGCTTAAAAGGTGTTTAATTTTCATTTTATAGATAGGATTTAATGACGGATCTCCCATTGATGAGGAATTCTTCATAAATAACATTAGTGGCAAGCATAACGAAGAGCTTTGTGATGTTCTTCTTCCGGAATGGGAGGTCGAGAAAGCCATGAAATTCATGGTTGATAAGGAAGCTTTGTTTCGAAGGTAATTTCTATCATTGATTTGAGATTAAAGTGACCACGCAAGGTCTAGTCAAAGAGATATGCACTTTGACTTTTCACAAGTTAGGGGTATTTATGGAAACAACTGTTCTACTTTTTGTGGTAGAGGTCAAGTCTCCATACATCTCACCCCCTCCCTTACTCCACCTTCAGATGGGATATACTAGACTCATTTTGTTTGGTTTGGTATGGAGCAAGCGTAATGATTAATCAATATCGAATGTCAACTGAAGTCAAAGTATGCATGTTTGATCATGAAAGTCAACCTGTAAATCAATATTCACTTTTACTTTTAAGGTCAAACATGTTACTTTCCAAATGACTAATGTAACTTATGGTTTGACCTCATAAGTCAGCAAAAGGGCGATCTTGGTGCACCAAAACTCCTTCCTCGTGAGGGACCATTTACCGACACAAACAGGGTAAAAGTGTGATCTAGGTAAAAAAAATTCGGTCAGGGTAAACGTTGACATTATAAGAGAGTCTTTCCTTACCGAGTCAACATCATATGTTGGTCCGAATGTACGGTAATTGGTAAATAGCCTCACCTCTTATCGAGTAAGCGTCTCTTACCCAATACGAAGAGGTCAACAATTAGTAAACAACCCCTAAGTCTAAAAAAAGTATCATACGCAAAATGTGACATTGTTTGTTTATGAATAAACAGGTTAGCAGCCGAACAATTGGAACCCATAAGTGGCCTGGACAAGTTATGTAAATGGGTAGAAGATCGTGGCCTGAAACGGGCTGCGGTTACAAACGCCCCAAGATCAAACGCCGAGTTGCTGATCTCAATGCTTAAACTCGAAGATTTCTTTGAAGTCATTATTCTAGCGGAAGAATGTGCAAGAGCGAAACCTTTTCCTGATCCTTACGTGAAGGCTCTAAATGCACTTCAAATTTCCCCAAATCGCACATTTGTGTTTGAGGTATCAACTCCATTCAATCATCATCTCTCTCAGATAATTTAGTTCACCAAAGTTCATATTTTTTGCAATTTACTAAAAGCCAATTTGCGCAATTTGAACCCATGATCTTTCGGCAACCGAGTTACTTTAGAGCATTTATGTTAGCTCCTCCAAAATAGAGGGGGAAAAAAGAGATGGTGGAGTTTTTATGGTTCAAATGTGCGGCTCAAGCGTTCAGTGGTCCGCAGTCAAATGCTAGAAAATGCATTTCTAATCGAAATATTAAAAAATTTGATACTTTGGAAAAAGAGGAGAGAGAGAGAATGATTTTTTATATAATTAAATATTATAATAATACTAAAAGTGCACTCGCACAATACATTTATGAAGCCGATAACTCGAACATAAATCCTAATTAATTCTTTGTTCTATTTTTGGTCCTTGTAGATTTTATTTTATAGTTTTGTGGTTTGCACGGTTTGTACAAATATAGGTGGTTTGCATTTGATCACTTCTCTTCTCTATATAAAGTAAATTGGAATATTAAACAAATAAATTAATTGAATAATTAACACAAATTACTAATTTACCCTTCTATTTTATTTTAAGAAAAATATTAATTATCTTAAATGATTGACTCACATTGAATCTCACAGTTATCATAAACTAATTAGTTCTTATTTGATTAGGCTCATATACACACACACACATATATATATATATATATATAGAGAGAGAGAGAGAGAGAGAGGGAGAGAGAGAGAGGGGGGGTTGGTTATTGTATAACCCTTGACATTTGTGCAACCAATACAACCCAATCTCAACCGTCCATTTCATTTGATTAATGTGATTTATAGAAGTTTTGATTGTTTCCTAATATAAAGTATTGATCATAATTAATGAACCATATTCATATTCCATAAATATTCAAATCATAATAAATGAACTCTCATAATTTCCATAAATATCTCAATTTATTAGGTTGCATTGGTTGTATAAATACGACAGGTTGTATTTGAAACAATCTCTCTCTCTATATATATATAACTTTCAAAATCCGTGCATGGGAATAAAATTCACATTACGATAGGAAAATAAAACCGTTAAAAATGGGAACAAAATATCGCTATATGTATGAAATTAATAAAATAAATTATTTATTTTTATATAATTCAAGTATTTTAACTTTAAAATGAGGTGTTTATCAAATTAATAAAATAAATTATTTATTTTTATATAATTCAAGTATTTTAACTTTAAAATGAGATGTTTATCTTATATTTGATTATATTTATGGGTTAGTTATATGAAATTCACAAAAAGTTGTACCTGTGCATCGTTAATATGTAATTTTGAATTTTAAGTAATGTATACTGATTAACCGCATAAAAGGTGGTTTCTACGACTTAGGGGCCGTTTACCCAAATGCTTACCCGGTAAACGCTTACCAATAGGAGTCAACACTATAATTTATTTTGATGCGTAAGATTTTAGTATATCAAAACATATCGAATACAACAATTTATTGGGTAAGCGCTTACCTCGATACGAGTCGACATCCTCACTTACCAGGTAAGACTCTCCATCTTTCTCATCACTCTTACTTCTCATCACTCTTACCCGGTAAGATTCTTGGTCCTTTTCATGTCCATCCAATGAGAAAATTTATGCGTTTAGTAAACGGCCCCTTAACCTCAAATGGTTTATGATATAGTATAGATAATTAATGTTGTAATCTAAAATAGAGAACCTATTGGAGATGAATGCAATATTTTTTTTTTTTGTGAAGAAATAATGTTAAAACTGCTGGAGATGCTCAAACGGGTTGTTCCAAAATCCATCTAGTTTTAGTATTTATGGTATGCATGAACAAAATCCACAAACAAAGACAAGTTTAAACACAAACTTGAATATTGGATTCTCTACTTAACAATGGCGTTGTGTGGTTTCTTCACAAAGGATTCTGTTTCTGGGATTAAAGCAGCAAATGGAGCCGGGATGCCGGCAGTTGGCATGGCTAGTAGAAACCCGGAACAAATGCTACTCGATGCTGGGGCAACGTTCGTTATCAAGGACTACAATGACCCAAAATTGTGGGGAAATTTAGAGGAGATAGTACAGCAAAAGCTACCTCTTTGATCCAGGTAATTCATCTGTATATCATATTGAAGGACCATTTGTTTTACCAGATTTTGCAGTGTTACTGAAAATATTTCATACGTATCGTACTCTGTAGGCTAAAAACTAGTTTATCAGACAAAATAAGTACAAAATAGTAACCAAGGCAAATTCGTTACTCTTGTGATGAAAGAATATATGATCCAAAATATGTAGTTGTATTACAATTCATGGTTACTTTTCTCGATAAGAATCAGAATGTTGGCTGGTATATCAAGCATGTTTAGAAGCCAAAACCTAAGTGGGAATAAGACACGAAAAGCATAATGAACAAACGAATTCAACCGCCAGAAAGAGTCTGATGGTACCTCTGTTGCGTAGATATCTCTGAAAAGGTGTCATTATCGCACCCATGCTACTGCATCGATCTCGTTTCTTGCTGCCTTGTATAGTTCAAGTCTTTTGGCAATTTCATGCCTCTTTGACATCAAGGATGGATCTTCATCTAGTAACTCTGCAAGCTGTTTACCCTGCAACACATTCATGTTTTACACATTATGATTAGCTAAAATACTTGAATGTTTACCCTTAAAACATGCATTTTTACACTTTCTATTTTGACCAATTGTGTACCATTCCATGAAAATGGCAACAATATGGTCGATTGCAGAATAGGGAAACTCATGGAGCATTCTGATAGGTTCCGGTGTGATGTCACTATTTCACAAACTTAACACAAAGAAAAAAACTTACATATCAATCATCTTACTATCTCAGGCACTAAATCGCTCCAGGTTGTAAAAGAAAAACATACAAAACGAAACAAGTGGATCCAATAAATCCCACTCGAAAGTAGGGTCTGGAGGGTGAAATGTACGCAAACCTGATATCTACCCCAAAGATTTGAATCCACAGGATATTTGTCATTATCGAGAAGCATTTTTGACATCTCAGGAATGGTTAAATACTTATGTATGACTATGTGCCCACTCAAACATTATAAACTTTTATCGGGATATCAATCAAGTTTTTCATAGTGAATTGAGAAATGAAAATGTAGAATAAGAGTTACCTCCTTCCTTCCTATTTGTGTGTAGAAGTAGTTGAGTAGATTTTGCTTGGCCTCTTTAACTTGACAATAGACAACTGCTTTTGGAATTGTGTTCCTGAGTGTGTCCGACACCATACCGATATAAGAGGATACATTTGAGCCTATTCTCCTAAAGTGTGCTTCTGCATATCTGTCCCCTAATGGATCAGAAGGGTTTCCACGGTCTGCAGCAGGGATTCCACGTTCTGAAGGTGGGTTTCTGCGATCAGCGGATGAGGTTCTGTGATTTCCAGGCGAGGGTGTGGGCCCCATTTTCTCCCCTTCTTGGGGAAGTCTCCTGAAGAAGTCGACGGTCAGGTATGAAGACTCCATGTCCACCAATCTAACAACTGTCTTCTTACTTTCATCACGGAATTTTTCCAATGCTTCACCAGCAGCAGCAGCAAGGGCAGATTGCAGAGTTGGAAAACGCCTTAGCTCCTGTTTAAACAATGCTTTGATATTACTTGCCAGAGTCAACATCACTAGCGATATATTAATGAGAACGTAAATATTTTGACAACCTACATATATATGGATGAGAACGTAAACAATTTGACAACCTGGCAACCAATTATTCATGATGCATATCATGATAGATTCATCACAAGAATTATTCATAATGAAAATGCATGATATCCATGAAGAATATTCATGAACATTTAGGGTTATTCACTATGAATAATACATGAAATAGTTGGTTCTCCTAAATATTAATGGTTCTCATTTGAACTTTCCCCTCAATATATATTGTATGACATCTATAGTTTAATGTCGTTATAACTTTTTCCGTCTACAACTCAGAAACAATTAACATTGATTTCGATGATAAAAAAGTGAGTCATTTGACATGAAGAAAGCCGAATGTTAACTCTTTTGTGGGAAGGGAAAGATTAACAACTATGCTTCTCAAAAGTCTGACCTCAGTTTCTCCAATTGACCTCCTCACGAGTTCTTTAAGGACGAAATGCACCTGAAGAGTAATTCCCAAGTAAGTTGCAGATATAAAACGTAACTCTTTTCAAACTTGTATAGCAGCTTGATGCTAAATGTATACAAAGCTGCTTACTGCATCTACAGAAGCTTCAGCTGGTCCCCTAAAATAATTCAATGATCCATCAATAAGACGTCTATAACCTTGTTCTGGAGCGATCAAATGTGGCTGGTAACCATCTGCCTCTGAAACAATTTTCCTCACACTTTGTAGAGAAAGATGCCTGTCAAATGGAAGCTTCCTTAATGCAGCAGGAAGCTGGTTGTCAAACACTCCATATATTCGGTCCCCTCCAGGCCGCCTGACATAACAGAAGAATATAAATTTAAAGAAATGCAACAAAAAGATACATCATTGTACCATGGTTTCACCTAAACCGAGTAAAGAAACTAACAGTTCTTTAGATATCTATATGCTAACAACTAGTAGAATATCTAAACAAACATCCAATTGGTATAACTCAAGCATCCATGAGAAGAGAAAGAATACTGCTTACCCTCCATCTAGATGCTCCTTAAATATTTTGTCAAAAGCACGACAGAGTTCCAAGATAGTGTACATTTGAGCCTGAAAGATGGCATTTAGGTGAATTGGGGACAGCTACGCCACATTTCATGGTAAACTGTACAAGATAGAAATAGCTTACCCCTGCATCAACTGCAATAGGCCTCCCAAGATGGTCTAACTCTGCTTCCATCTCATCGACACCTTTGTCTATCAATGAAGTGATGCCTGGTATTTTTGCTTTGATTACAGATTCCAAATGCTGCAGAGAGAAGCATATTATTGTGTAAAAAACACTTCTTGTGGAAAACAAAGCATCGCTGCTGTTCTACCAGAAGTGAGAAAATTGAAGCTCTAGCTTCTAGTCACATGGCCTTATTCAACATACATATATGCAGAAAAGGCTATGATCACACCTTTTAATTAAACCAAACCAAAATGACCCAGTATATCCCACTCAAAGATACGGTCTTAGGGGGCAGGAGCGAGATGTACGCAGACCTGATCTCTTCTATACAGAGCACCATTTCTGTTGGGTTTAATTGCAATAGCTAAACCTTTTACACATGTGGACTTCAGTTAGGTTCACAAGGTAATATGTATTACAGACAAATAACAGGCACAAACACTCTAATAAATACCTGTGAGAGAAGTTTAGCCAGATACGCCGAACCCATTTTACTTGCCAAGTGTCCATAGTCGGGACTTGTGGCAAAATACTCTTGCTCCCTCCGCCTTGCATAAATCATATCAGTATTTTTGTTAATATCAGCTTGGGATCTGTTCACGATCCCCACCCAAGGATGCTGAAGACGATAAGCTCTTCCTTCAAGGACCTTTAGAAAGTAGAGTATTCACATCATGCATGCAATAAAAAATGCCCCAAAATATTAACTTTATCTATTAAGCTGAACTGATAATATTGAAAGAAAAGAGATGATCTCACATCCAATGCATCAGTTCCTTTGTCCATCAAATCAAGCTTTGTCAACACCCCAAACGTCCGCTCACCTGGTCAGTTGGAGCAAGTCATATAAGACCAACAAGAAGGAAATACCCAAAAATAGAGACAGACAAACATTCAGCAACAATAGGTCACAGCATACCTGATGGATCAACCTCCCTGGCAAGTTTCATCGCATCAGATGTTGCTATATCTTGGTTGGCAGGAGATATTGCCAATATGATAGAGTTGGGCTGAACAAAATCAAGCAATCATTGTATGTAAAGAACTATTTAATTACATGCAAAAGAAAATTTAACAATATATGGTACACATTAAATCACATGTCATTAGTCAATACATGTTTAAGTAACAAACGATACATATTACACCAATACCCTGCTGAAGTTTAATTTATTGAAAGAAACATAAGATAGAACTAAAATGACCTTCTCAACATAAGTTCGAACCATCTTTTCAATGTCCTCAACTATAGTTTCAGGTTGTCCCTCTGCAAAGGGAATAGCTCTTTATATCAGATGAAGCTCGGATCAATCAAATAATTAATGAGGAAGGTTCAAAAAAAATACCAACAGCAACTTTTGTCAATCCAGGTAAATCAATTAACGTCAAGTTGACAACTGGAAGAACAAGAAAATCATGATATGGTGTCAGTATCATATCACAAAGAAAAGTATAAGAATAACAGTTTATGATGAACATCTAAATTGCACTCACTGCATTAAAGTTTAACATAATATATATAAAAAAGAAACACACCATTAGGGGAATATATACTGAGATGGATTGGGATTGGAGATATTTGTTTTGACTTCCCCGTGATCCTGTCTGTTTCATCTTGAATCTCCTTTCGCACCAAAGCTGTGTAAAAATCAGAAGTAAATGTTAGTTTCCAGTAACCATAAAGCACAGAAGACACATTTAAAAAACTATGAAGTTCCTGGAAAGAGCATTAAGAGCTGGTAAAACCCATTTTTGCATGAAACACTACGCAATAAACACACCTTCTCATCCTCCCAAAATGGCATATACTATCCCCACACTTGCCTCTCATGTTCTGGAACAACCAGATAAACTTTTATTTCCTTGTGATTGTGATGGAGCAAAATGAATAGCTTTTGCCTTTGCTTATAGAGTTTTCATGTTTTACAATGTTGATTATTATTAATATAGTTGCTTAGCTGGTCTTTTCGGATGATCAGCCACACTGTTTCCGCTTTTAGAAACGAGTTGGTTTGTTTTCAATTTCAATCATTCAACATTTTATGTTGCAATTTTTTGTAAATTTGTACAGGTGTGCACAAGTGGATACGGTCATATGGATGTTCAAATACGTAAGTAATATTTCTGAATCTATTTAACATGTGACATTTGCATCACATGTCTGTTTTGAATATCCTTCAGATGCATATCCGAAATAGGATATCCAATAGGCTAATTGGATGCATCCAACATTTACACCCTGAAGAAGAATATGGTTACATAGAGTAACAAGCTGTCTCATGTAAAGAAAACATGCCAAAAGTTGTGGGTAAATACACCAGCAGTATAAGAAATATATGTATTTACTTGGTATAATATTTGTCCTCAGAAATTGGAAACTTGTGTGATATTTATACCAAAAAAGTTAAGTAGCAGTCAGTTTACATACCAAAATCAGTGAATCGCCTCCGTGGCATATGTCCAAATTCTGCATACTCCTCTTGTCTGCCCTCTGTCTTGTGTAACTGCAACACCAAAGGTCGCCTCGTGACAATCCCTGAAGAGGCATGTATTCAGTATGTATCATGAACAAAGAAGGACTGGAAATACAGTTGCAAGTAAAATCAAACAAGCAACTAACCAGATCCTCTAGGAAGAAAATCTCTACCAACAATGCTCTCTAGAAMCGAGGACTTCCCAGAACTCTATTAGCAGCTCAATTTGAGTTTACAAAACAAGAGAGCAAATGATTAGATATAATCAAAACCTCCATAGACGAACAATATAAAGAGCAATATTCAATTTGAGCTGCAATCATATAAGATAAGGCAAGAGTTACATTTCACCTACCAAAATGAGAGCCTGAAAAATGAGCTTCAGGAACAGATATAAGAAACACATCCTTGAAATCCCCCACCCTCCTTCGAGAAACCCAACATTTAGAGATTTGAAGATTTAAAGTTGTAACTTCTTCCGTTCTTCCTAATTTGGCCCCTCCTTACCCCTCAACCCATCCCATAACTATTCGTGTTTCCTCTGAAAACCTTCAAAATAGCCTAACAAGTAGGATTACAGGAAAGTTCAGTTCCAACTCCATATTACATGCCCCCTGTTCCAAAACAGTGCCTGATGTGAACAAATATTTGCTTCTTCCTTTAGCATTACTATGTTAACACTCTCTCTATCTCATACACACGCAGGGAATTCATATTCGTACGTAAATTCCCTGCAATTCCCGTGCAATTGCATACTTCAATACAATAAATCAAGTAATATGGACATCATAGGTTTTATTCGCTATCATACGGACTACTTTTCTCTGAAGACGTTAATAAACATAATTTCACTAAAAAGTAACAGCAATCCAAAATTCGATCACTTACCCCAAGACATTTCAAAGGATGTTAACGTCTACGAAGTAAAATTACATAAAAGTTGAAGGAGACTACGGAAGAAACGAACCTGGCCACCGACGACGGCAACAGAGGGAAGAGCGTCCCAGAGAGAAGAAAAGGTGGTGTCCCCACCGCCATAGTCTCCGAGAGCAGTACAAGCTCTCTGTATACGATTCACCAGACCAATCAAACTCTCCATAGTCGCCATAAAAGCAATAATACTCTCTTCTCAGCTCACATCAACAATAGAAAACCCTCGCAGAAACCGTATGATCACTACAATGACAGAAAGCTCGAATTCTGGATGAAGAATCGATGTCAGATTAAGATTTTACAGAGGGAGAGAGAAGTGAAACTGGATCGCGAATGGAAATGAATAACCGTAAAAAAGAAGAGTGTGTGCTAATATACGCATGGTGCCGATTTCATGAAAAAGTAAATATAAAAACTTTTAAAATATTAACGTAAGTTACATAAAATTAATTATTTTGTTTTGTAAATAATAAAAATATGTTAAATAATTTTAATAAAATATTTAATTTAATTATTCATTACATTTTTGAAAAAATATTGATTAATTAGGATATGTGAGGTTGACCAATTTTGTTGTTATTCATATTATATGTGGTAGCTATTTAAAATCATAGCTTGAGGAAGACTTATTCGAAAATTTGTTTTAACAAAATTAAAATTTATAGTATATATAATAATCAATTTTAAATTCTTTTAATTAATATATTATATTATTTATTTCTATTTACTATCTTTTTTGTATTAGTTAACATATTTTATCATTAAGAAATTTTGTTGACTATATCATTAGAAATTTATTTGAATTTATGAAAATTAATAATTGACTATTTTTTCAAGATGTTCTTTTTGATCATTATACATGCTTATAAGCTAGTTTTTACCAAACATAATTTGTTCATCAGCTACTAGCTAGCTTATTAGCTACCAGCTAGTTTAACCAAACATAACCATAGTCTACCCGTCAGTTATTGAGTTCAAGGCATTGTTTGGTAAAAATGAGCTAACTTATTTTTTGGGTATACATTTGGATGCACATACTTATTGAAAGACTATTTAGAGTAACGCTTTGATAGTTTATTGTCAATTTTTTCAATTATATAACTCTCTTCAATATTATTTATTATTTATTACTATTAATTATAAATAAATATTAATAAAATTTAAATATAACCGATATCAATAAATNATTTTTTAGTATTAATTAACATATTATATTTTAGAGATTTGTTTTAATTATATTATAAAATATTGTAATCCATTAATTTTTCAAGATGTTCTTTTTGATCATTTTACATGTGAACTTATCAATTACCATTTCATTTATCAATTATCAGCTAGTTTGTCAAATATAGTCTAAGTATTTTTTAATGATTTTCTAAATAAAACTTAAATTTCTATCAGAGACCAGGTCTTTTTCTATTGAAACTTAAAATCCATTAATCATTTAATATATTTTTTGAAATTATATTTTTAAAATAAATTATATTTCTGTTTTTATGTAATCTGTTTAAATTTTGGTAGAAAATTGAAAACCGGGTTCACAAGTTGTTTGAAATTTATGTTGTTAAATAATAATTTAAAGTTTTAATTATTAATATCTGTACCGCCTTGTAGCCATTTGAAATTCAAATTTTCGAAAAGAGAAACCGTTGGAAAACATGGTCCACCTGATTCAACAGTGCACCAAAAGGCATATGTGGAAAGTTGGATAAACAGATTAAGGTATTGTTTATTAATCATCAAGTAACTAGAATGGTACCCATATAATAACATCGACATACATTTTGATTTTAATATTTTATTTTATTTTTTATCTCAGTCAATATTATAGTATGGTTTTATGTGATTTTGAAAAAGCGATGATTTTTTATTTTTAAATAAAATATATGTTTGAAGATATCATAAAAATTTGACAAAAATATATCGATATTAGTATCAAATTAACTATCTAAAATTCTTATTTTTTATATAATTTTTTTATTTAATTTAATTCAGGTTCAATAATGAAGTAATTTATATTTGGTTTAATAGTATAAATTTTTTATAAAGATAATAATTAATTATTTTGTTAGAACTCAATAATTATCTTAATTATATTTTAGATTTTTTGTATTTTAAAATGAGATGTTTATCCTCTATTTGATTATGTTTATTCACAGTTAGTTACACGAATTCAAATATGAATCTTTAATAAGTTGTACTTATGTATAATTTACTTGTAATCTTGAATTTTAAGTAATATGCATCAATATATAATACTTCATGCATAAAAAATGGTTTTTAAGAGTTTTTGTCAAATCTTTTGTAATATAGTATAAATATTTATTAATTAGATATTAGAGGAGCGATCAAATGAACCCCCCCCCACTTTGTAAAAACCGTGCCCCCCCCCCCCCAATTTGTGTTAAACCAATCTCATTCATCCATTTTTTTGATCAATGATCAAGATTAGTTTAGCTTATTTTAGGAAATAAAAATATATATATTAAATTTTTTATTTTATAATAGCGAGAAGGGCAAAATGGTAAACTCAACCACATCTTAAACCTCATGAACCTATTTCATGAAACATTTTCACTATTCATCATGCATCCATTTCATGCCTCTTAAACCTCATCACGCACCCATATCCTCATGCACTTTATTCGTGATGCACCCATTTCATCATGCATCCATTTCATAATCATTTTTACTTACTCTATGCACCAATTTCACCATATATGAAACCGGTTTCATCATGCACCAATTCCATAATCATTTTCACTTACTCCATGCACCAATTTCACCATGTATGAAACCGCTTTCATGAATATTTTTTTTATTCTACTATTGATTTCATGGATTTATTACTCTAATAACTTAAATAATAAATCGAAACACAATATAACAAAATCCAATTTTTAATATTATAATTTAATTAAATATTTAAATGTTAACATTTATAAAATTTTCTTTATTATGTTGCCTTAATTAAGATTTATTAATAACTTGCATATTTAATAGAAAACAATGCAAATGACCAATATATCCTTAATGATTAAATTTAATTAGAAAAAAAAACGGAATTTTTCTATTGGTCGAAATTAGTTTACATGGTTTCTAATAATTGCATGGTTTTCATTTGAACGTGCCTCTTAGATATTGTGCATTAATATTATTTATTAATTATTTACAATTATTATTTATCATATCAATTATTTTTAAATAATATTTGGTTATCAAAACACAAATATAACAAGGGGAGTGCTAATGGCACCCCCTTAATAGGGGGTGTTGAATGCCTTGGGAATTACTCCATCAAATGTCATAGTCAATTATAATATATTATATTTTTTTTATTATTATTATATATATACACACACATATATACATATGTATATATCCAATTATAATTTTAAGTTGTATTATCTAACTATTTTATACTTTTTTATTATTATTATTATTATATAAACACACACA